GTGTGTGTGTGTGTGTGTGTGTGTATGTGTGTGTGAGGGGAGAGAGAGAGAGAAAGTGTGTGTGTGTGTGTGTGTGTGTAAATCCCCCCCGACACCTGGGCTGCTACGGCCCCAGTAGTGAAGAGAATTACTGCCCACCCTCCCTGGACTGCTCCATGAACCCTGCCCTTGGCTTAGGGGCCAAGACAGAGGTGGGGACAAGACTGCCCAGTAGCTCCTGGCTGACAGAGCCTCTGGGACTCCTGGATCACTCACTGGAGAAGAGAGCCGTGTACCTGGCGACCCTCCGAAGCAGCCCCTCCCTGGGCCAAGGCCCTCCATGGCCCCACACACAGCCTTACCTGAGGGCTCAGCGAGAAGCTCTCGCGCCGGGACTCCCCAGCCCGCAAGGTCCCCACATCAAACAGCACTGACAACACAGGGTCATCCGTGGTCAGAAGGTCCTGGTCAAAGACTCTAAGATGCACGATGTTCTGAAAGGGAAGTAGAGTCAGGGGGCTGCAGGAAGAAGGGGTGAGGCAGGGAACAAGAAGCTGGGAGGCAACAGTGGGGGGACAGCGAGCGGGGCCAGGACTGATGCCCATCCACCTTGATCTGGCTATGGATTCGGAAGTGGAAGCTTTGATTCCAGACGGGGTTTCTGCAGTTCTTGACTGTGCGCGTTTGCAGCTGGTGGCTGGAGGCCGTGGGCAGCCACAGGGTCACGTAGCAGTCAGAGGCGGTCACTGTGGGGAGGAAGCAAGGGTGGCAGCCGAGAGTCCCTCCCAGCCCAGCCGCCCAGGGCCCTCATCCCTCCATCACTGGCAGCCCCAGAAGACCCAGAGAACGGGGCTGGTCAGGAGGCAGGGGCCTGACCTCGACATTCCATCCACTGCCTCCTCTCTGAACCCTCTCAAGGAGCCCCACACACACCCAGCCTACTTGTGTCTCTCCCCACTGCCCTGGCTGGCTCTGAAGTTGCAAAACCACTGCCTCCCCAGGCCCAGCACTCACCGAGGTCCTTGGAGGGCAGGCCACGAGCCTGCAGGACACGAATGGTGAGTAAGCAGGTCCCAGGCACCTTTGCCTGCAAAGGATGGAGAAACAGGCTTACAGCCAGCTGGTGGGCCCAAAAGGGAGGCTGGCGTGACACCTTGAGGCCTAATCTTGAACCCAAAGCATCAGCCCTGCCCAGCCCTGGGCCCATCCTCCCCCCACCAGAGCCCTGAGCCAAAAGGAGGCTACCGTATCTCCCGATGACGCCTGCCAACATTTACACAACACTCACACAACACTCCACACCGGCTCCAGTCCAAGGGCTTGATGCAGCCTAACTCGATTTAATCACACAGCCATTCTGTGCGTGGGGACTACTTATTATGACCAAACCCACAAGGAACTAGAAGTGCTTGCCTGAGATCAGGGCCAGGACTAGACCAGGCTAGCTCAACTTGTGCTCTCAACCCCCACACTTCCCTTCAGTTCCCGGTACAGTACCCTTACTCTTTCCACCCCACATCCCTGGCTCCTCTTTACTAAGCAGTCTTGAGTCTCATCTTGGGTAGCAGGGGCCCCAGGGTGGCAGAGGTGTGGATGTAAGACTACAGAGGGAAGGAAAGAGTTATGGTGGGTCTCTGCCTGGCCTTGGTCCCCCTAATGGAGCTGTTCCCATACTCCCCATCCCTGGCCAGAAGTTCTGGAAATGGGCTCTCCATTGGTCTAAGGACAGCAGTGATCAGCTCACCCACAGGCTGACTGGCCCTCCAGGTCCTACAAGGTCAGGTGGCTCCATCCAGACCCACAACCCTGGATCTGGGGATTGGACACCCTGTGTTAAATCCATTCTTCCTCTGACCTTCAGCCTTGCCTCAAAAGGGCCTTGATGGCATCCAGGGGCAGAGCTGGAGAAGCTCATCCATCACAGTCAACCCTGGGGCTCCCACACCCCCAAGCAACTGAGTCAGAAGCAATGCCAGAGCAGCCGCTGCATCTGGGGCCCCAGGACAGCAGCTGGGTGCCTGAGTTCTCAGGGCCTGAATCCACCATGCCAAGGAGCTCTGCCTGGAGCCCATCTCTAGGGCAGGAAGAATACTGAATGTTCCTTCGTCCCAAGACTCTGCCTCTTCCCTGGCTTCTGCTCCCCACCATGGTCCAAGGCTGGCAAACACCTGGAGAAGCCCACCACTCCCTAAAGAAACAGCGCTAACCAGGCTGCAGGAACCAGTGCCCTACTGGGTCTTACCAGAGCCATGAGGCAGCGTCCTCAGGAGGAAGGAGTGATGTCAGTGTCTGCAAGACTGAGGACTGTCAGCTTTATCACCCAGAGCCAGCGATGTCCCAGCGGGCCCCAAGCTCCTCCCCTGTTCCTCCCAGCCACCTCTGCTCCACCCAAGACCCACACCCACTCCTGGACCAGCCATCTGTCCAGGAAATGAGACACCTTAAACCTACACGGAGCCACTGATGCCCTCATGATGGGGGCTCAACACACCTGAACACCCATTCTCTCCAGCCAGCGCCATCTGGGCCTCGCCCCAGCCCTGCTCTCCCTGCCTGGACCGTGACGAGGGCCCCCAGGAGAGCTGGCTGGCAGAGGCTGAGCAGCAGGCTGGAGGTGGGGTGGGGGGTGCAGGAGAGACTGCTAAGGCCTGGAAAGTGGGGAGCAGGCCCCAGGGCAGCAGCAGACCTAAGAGCCATGTCCCCCGTCACAGGTCTTTTCCCACCCTCCTGCTGCTGGTGTGACAGAACCACCTGGTCTTGACAGGAGCGTTGGCCAATCTGAGAGAAGCGCCCCGTGCCCCAGCATAACCAGGCAGGGCTGTGGCTTGTTCTATGGAACAAGCCCTTCAAAGCTGCGTGCCAGGGACTTCCATGCTTCCACTGAAGGGTCACATGGTCATTCCTGCTCAGGATACCAAGATACATACTGGGCAGCCAAAACATAAAATGTGCTCGTTGTGAGAGAAACAATGGTGACCCCCAGGACACCAGATCCCACCCGCTGCCCTAGAGCTGGAGGAGAATAAACAGGGCCAGAGTGAAGCTAGGAAGAGCTTTGCCGGCTCTGGGCCCATGAGCTCCACACCACTGTTACAGCAAGGCTGGGGTTGGCCTGAATGCCCCAGAGAGGCTGTGACGGCTGTAGTGGACAGAGGGGTCTTGTCCACAGGCCCCAGCCTAGACACAGCCCTCACCCCAACTACCATCACTACAAAATGTTCACCTGTACCTTCTAGCCCTTGGCAGACCATGGAAGGCAACTGCAAGGGAGTCTCAACACACTTGAGTCACAGATGCCTTTTATTGAACACTTCCTCTGTGCCAGGCCTCTGCCATCCTCACAGATAGCACCGCCAGCACTCCGTGAGGTAGGAACCATCATTATCTCCATTTTACAGACAGGACACCACTGTTCTGAGGCAGTAAGTGGCACAAGGTCATGGGTCACGGCACTGATGAGAGGTGTGCAGCGTCCAAGCCCCTTCCTCTTCCAGAACAGGATGCTGCCTCACCTGGGCACCAGCTTCCTGGGCGCTCACACCCAGACCTGCCCGGCACCTCCTGGTCCTCCAGGCCGCCTCCCAAGCCTCTGGAGCTGACCCTAAGCCCCACTGGGCTGACAGCCAGCACCTCCGACTCCAGGCTGCCTCTACAGTTGACTGGCCTGGGAGAGATGTGGCCTTTTCCACGGGTACTTCTTGATGATGTTCACCAGGGCTCGGTCAGTTGAGGCCCGAGACCCTAGTGAGGGAGTCGAGCAGCTGGAAGTAACTGTACTTGAGGTCATACTCCATGTCGTACCAGAAATTCACTGTAGGGGAAAACAGAAATCGGAGCACAAGGGTCCCCCTTCTGACAGACTTTCCACTTCCCCACCCACCCCCAGGGACCTGGGCCGCCCCTTACCAGCAATGCAGCCATGGGACTGTTGGACGTGGTGGAACCACAGGGCTGGCAGGTAGAGCATCTCACCCGCCCGCACCGTGCAGCGAAGCGCCTGGGCCTGGCAGTAACTGGGGTACCGGGCCAGATCTGGAGCCAGGGGGTCCAGGGGGATCCATGGCACCTGGGGACATGGCAGACTCCAGGGAGCAGGCCCAAAGCCCCCAGGCTCTGAACTCTGTGCCTGGAGGTAAACGCCCCGGACCCCAGGGAAGTGGGTCCACTGGGAAGCCCAGATGGAGGGATTCTTCAGCAAAGCGCCACCTCCCCACCGCTCAGGCTCCTTGCCTCCCCCTCTCCCGGGGCCCAGAAACAAGGCAGACACCTTCTCCATGGCCTCTTCATCCACCATCTTGAATGAGCCCTCTTCAGTTAGCTGGTAGGTTGCCTGTGTATACAGTTCTGAAACCAGGGGGAGAAAGTCTGAGGATCCTCAAAAGGCCTGGAGTGTGCCCACCACTCCCTCATCTTCCCTGAGTGCAGGGGCATGGGGGCCAGGGGTCCTAGGGCAGTGGAGATGCTGTGTCCCCAGCCCACCCGGGGCTCCCCACTGCCCTCCCTCCACCATGCGGCTGGGGACCCCTCCCAGGCTGTATCCCCTACCATAGGGGATGAAGGGCCGGTCACTGGGTGGATGCAGCAGGAAGCGTTTCTCTCCTGAGACCACACAGTAGAGGTTCTCATAATGGTCCTTATGCACTGCCAACACAGAGGGCCCAGTGGGCAGGGCCATGAGGAGCAGGCCACGGGAGGGCACAGATGATTGCACTTGGGGCCCTGCACCCTAAGAAAGCTTATGACGTGACAGAGAGCACAGAGTCATAGCAGGCTCAAGAGGACACCACGACGGGAGTCTGGCAGGCCTTCGGGCATCTCAGATCTCTGCCTACCAAGGGACTAGACACTCGCCAGGCCCTGGGCTCATCTTCAACAAGAGAGAAAATCGCACAAACAGGGTTCTTGTGAGTCTACCCTAACTCAGCTGGCCTTCAGCGCTTTCTAGGGACCTAGCAGAGGCAGTGTCCCCCAGGTCTAATGCCGTGGGCATCTCCACCCACCTGAGCTGTCAGGGAAGGCCCTCTGATGGATCTCAGCCCCAGAATCCCAGAAGAAATTTTAAAGATCAGGCAGTCCAATTTCCATCCAAGGTCAGCCTTCCACTCTGCACCTCACCTTCCTCCCCACAACCTCCTCCCCTGCTCTGCACTCCCAACGCCTACACGATGTCACTGCAGCTGCCTCTCCCAGCCAGAAGTTCACAGCATCAGGCATCTTCCCTGTGGGTCAGAGGTCAGAGGGAGAGTTAGGAGAGGCCAGGCTGGAAGTCACCACCAGTGATGCTGCGTGGGGAGCAGTGGGGTCCCAGGGGAAGAGTGGGGGGAAGGGGCAGAGGTAGGCAGGCATGACAAGGGGCCTCTGTTCCCTGGGGCAGGTGAAAGAGCAGCAGTCTTCAGTGATTCATCAAAATGAAGTCAAGGCCTAGGGATCTGTGGGGCCAAGAACGGGGGCTGCCATCACCAAGGGGAGAGAAACAGCAAGGAGGCTGCTCCCACCTTCCCGTCTCCTCCCCACAGGGCCCCGCCTCCACTCACCCAGCGCCTCAGAGGCCCAGGGCACGTGGGGCTCCACATCAGGCAGCAGCTGGGGCAGCTCGGTGGGCAGGTTGGAGCACTGCTTCTGCACGTAGAGAACCCCAGGGTGTCGGGCTCGGCCCTCCAGTACGTCCAGCACGTGGCTCAGGGGCAGGCGGCGCTCAGCAGGCATCACAAAGCGGTCCCCTCGCACGGCATCCGCGTAGCCATCTGGGGTCACTGCCACACTCACCTCTGTGGAGCCCACGGTGGCCCTGGAGGAATGGACATTCAGCCCAGCCCTGGAGGCCCCAGAACACCGCCCACACCCTGCCCAGGGCAGCCCCCACCTGAGGTAGGGGAGGGACCACTTCCGGAGGGCTGGCCAGTGCTGCAGGGCATTTCGGATGATGCAGGGCCTGTTGGGGCAGACCCAGTCCCGGTAGAAGTGGAGGGGACTGGGGGGCTCATCCAGGTGGGGAACAGCAAGAGGCACGCTGAGCTCTGAGAGAGAGAGAGAGAGTTGGGGGAGGGGCTGAAACCAACAGAACCCAGTGGCTGCCCCACTGCCCACGTAAGAGATGCCCACTTCAGCAGGCCACTGTGCCACCGATCAAGGCCTATCGGTGACCAAGGGACCCTGGACAGCCAGGAATAGAAGAATGAGGAGGGAAATTTAAGTAAGAAAGTGTGAAACACCCAAAAACACACCAGGATGTCCACAGGGCCCAACCCCAATGCTCCACGGGGACATGTCCGGCTCTGCCCAGGGGACCCCTGGCCTTCCCACTGTGAAATAGCCAACCTCCTGGCATCCATTAGGAAAGGCAGCTATGGAGGTGGCACTGGAAGCTCCAGAGTGAGTAGAGCTGAGGCCCCAAGGCCAGCGCTGCTATGAGTGGGCCAAGGATCTCTGGGAAGCACCTAAAATGTGCTCAGTCCTTGCCTCGGCATCATGGATGTATTAAGGGATGATCCGAGCACCATCTCAAGAACCTTACAACCTAACTGGGGAGACAAGCTGCTACATGAAACCATCAGGGGAAAAGTAAGGGCTGAACTGTCTGGTCTGTCTTACCAAACAGCATCACCAAGCTCAGACCCCCAAGACTGCTGTGTGCGTGTGGGCAGACTGCGGTGCCCCACCTGCACGGGTATCAATAACGGCCCTCTTTCACCCTTGACAAAAATCTCTTTTGACTCTTCCTTCTCCCTCACTCCTGGCATCCTACTGATTATCTCTAACTGCTATTGATTCTACTACCTATGTCTCTCAGGCCACACCACACACCCCTTTCCTCTGCTGGCATCCACAAAGTTAGCTCATTTGGGTCCTCAAAGGTCACTTTGGTGAGGCTTTCCTTCCTGGCCACTATTTTTAAAATTGTAACCTGCCCTCAATATCCTTATACCCCTGTTTTTGTTTTTATTTCTATCATTTATCACCATCTTACACACTATATATTTAACTTATCCCAAATATTGATCAGTTTTTCTTGCTAGAATGTTTGCTCCATGAGGACATGGATGCTTGTCTTATTCACTGATGTATCCCCAGTACCTGGAACAGTACCTGGCTCACAGTAGGTGCTCAAAGTATCTGCTTAATGGTTGAATGTAAGTCTCCAACATCTTCCGGCTGGATGATTGCTGCAGTGAACTAACTGGTTTCCTTGGCTGAATTCCACTCCTTCTCAAAAAAAATCCCTCATCCAGGTCCCCGTCATCTTCCTAAAATACAATCTCATCTTGTCACACCCTAGTAAAAAGTCCTTTGATGGCTAACCACTACTCCTGACGAAACACAGTCAGCCTCGGCACATATTCAAGGTGCTCTGTGATGAGACCCAACCTACTTTTCCAGTCCAGCTTCCTTCCGTCTGGGGCCTGCCCCTCAGCACACACCCTACTCAGGGGGTGCCCAGCTTTGTTTTTGCTGCTCACACAGGCATGCCTTCCTCCTGGCTTTTACACACAGCGTGAGGCTTCGCTGTGTTATTTGCATCCCTGCAGTCTAGCCTGAATGTCTTCGTCCCCAGTGGGCGTTACAACACGCTCTCCCAACGGCCACTGCACTCATTTTCACCTCTGGGCTCAAGCTCTCTCTCACAACCGCCTCTCCATACCGGTCATCCAGGCCTTGCAAACAGCTGGAAAGTGAAATGGTGTTAGATCAAAAATGGAAACTGAGTGGGAAGACCCTGGGGGACCCAGGAAAACTTGAAAAGGAAGTGTGCTTACTCCACTGGCTCGAAAAGCAAGATGGAATGTGCCAGGCAGATATGGGAACAAGGGGGAGGAATCTGGCAATGGTCTCCCCAGTCACGCCAGCCCACCCAAGCAGTCACCTTGTGGGGCTCAATAAATCTCCCTGTTCTGTTCTGAAGTATGGTTGATTTACATAGCCACTTGTGTTATTTATTTTCCAGCCATGCCATGTGGTATGAGGGATTCTATTTCCCCAACCAGGGACTGAACCCATGCCCCCTGCACTGGGAGTGCAGAGTCTTATTAACCACTGGACCACCAGTCAAGTCCCTATTACTCTCCCTATTACTCTCACCAGAATTCTTAAATGATGTGGAAACTGCTTTTTTTTTAACCCTTTGTATTTCCTGCAATTATTTCAGTTTCACTTTTTCACTATTTAAAGTTCCTTTAAAGAATGGCCAGTATTCTCTCCTGAGGTTTCAAAGGGAGAATTTCATAAAGGACCCAAACAATTCCTTTGGTCTGACAATTCTTCTGCTAGGAATTTAGCCAACAGAAACATACATGTGCACAGACTCTGCTCCAGCCACACTGGCCTCCTCACTGATCCTTGAACACACCTGGCACACTCCTACCTTACAGCATCTGACCCGAATGCCCTTGCTTAGAATTCTCTTCTCTCAGGTCCGCTCGCTCACCCACTCCCCTCCTTCTTCAAGCCAGTGCTCAAACGTCGCCTTGTCAGAGGCCCACCCTGACTTTCTTATTTCAACTTGTAATCTGCCCGACTGCCACATCCCGAGTCTCCTCACTCTGCTTTACTTTTTTACCCCACACTACTTATCTTCGAACCCATTTTTCCCTACTGTATGGTTTATTCATCTAATGCGCCTACAGTTAACTGTCCCCTCACTTACAATGTAAGCTCTATGAGGGCAGAGATCCGTTTTAGTGATGTATCTTAAACATACTGAACAGAGTCTGGCACACTGCAGTGCTTACTAAATATCTGTTAAACAAATACTCAAAGTATTATTGCTATATTAAAAACAACAGATTGAAAATGACCTAAATGCCTGCCAGAGGGGGTTAATTAAGCAAATTACAGCATTAGTACACAGATGTGGAAAAGACTGAAGCAGATTTAGATGGACCTAAAAGATTCAGGGAACCAGAAGAATGTGCTTAACAAGCTACCATTTGTATAAAAAGGGAGATATCCAGTCATAGGCGTGTGTGTGTGGATATTAATAAGTACTGCTGGAAGGAAGCAACCTGGAATGGGAAGGAAGGACACTTACTTTACATAAGTCTGCTGGTTTTTAAACAACGTGCCCATGTTACTACTCAGTGATAAGACATTCCTTAAAAATAAAAAGAGTAAAGGGAGAGAATGAGAGGGGAAAAATAAAAACCAAGCAAGGGAAAAGCCAGGGATCTCCAGTACAGCCGCCTCCAATCCTCTGCAGCGCTCCTGGCTTGGAGGCGTCTCCTCTTTAAGAAAGAGATCCAGCAGGGGTTCGCAGAGGGAGAAACTTTAAAGACTTCAAAACAGAGAAGGGTGGAAAAGGCAACAACAGAAAACCCCCAATTACTCGGTGCCGGCTGACAGTGGGAAACAGAACAGCGCCAGAGTCAAGACTGGACCGGGCCTTGGGAAAAGATGAAGAGTCACCCCAGGAAGCCACGAAGGTGTGGGAACACGGGAGGAGGGGAGCTGAGGACCCACCCATGGGGCTGGGGGGTCAGGGTTGCGGAAGAAGATTGACGACGGGGCCACCCACGTGCACGAGGTTCCAAGCTCCTTGAGGCCAAGAAACAGGGTGCACCCTGGTATCAGCGACCCAGGAAGGACCAGGGCGCACCCGGCTCTGGAACCCGGTTCCCGGCAAGCCCAAGGCCCCTCCCGCGTCTTGAGGTTGTTTGGCAGTCAACAAGCCAGCCCACTCACCCCTTACCGCAGCCGGGAATTCTCGTAACTCCCTGCGCACAGCGTCCAAAGCCGCCTCCGCCATGACGCCGCCGCCGCCACCGCCCCGAGGCCCCGCCCCTCCTTCCTCAAGACTCCGCCCCAGCCCTGAGGCCCCGCCCTTCTCTGCGGCCTCACGCCCGAGCTCTGGCTGCGTGCCGGAGGCCGCCTAGTCGTCACGCCCCGCGGCTGCAGTCGGAGCCGCCAACTGCCCCACCCCCACGCGACCACAGATTCTGTTGCCCGTCCAACTCGCTGACAACCGAGTTAGCAAATGATTGTGTTTATTGAGTTCATACATCAATACAAACGGACATATTAAAAACAGCCTCTGCCCTGTGAGACCTGGGGATGTTGGGGAAGCGCCATGGCCTGGGCAAAGTATAAAAGTTATAAATAAGGGGCTTTCAAAACTGGGTCAGGGCAGATCTGAACGGGGGCGGCAGTTGCCGGTGGCCTCAGACATGCAGAAGGGGACGGGCGCCGACCACATCCCCCCACGCTGGGCGGGGGTGGGTAATCAAAAGGGTGGCCACCTTCCCACAAACCTCGGCAGGAGTGTCGCTTCATCCTCGTGAGGGATAGACTGGCTGAGGGTGGCCAGGAACCCAGCCCCGAGGGCCAGGCCCGAGCGCCACTTACAGTGGACTGCGGCTGGTGTGCTGGTTAGGGGTACATGGGGAGCGGATTTCTAACTATGACAAGGGCAGCTGCGGCCTCTTGGGGTCCACACTCAGCTCTGAGAGTTCCTGGGCCAGGATTTCTTGGCAGCTTGGCCATGGAGGTGGTGGTAGTAGAAAAGAGTGAGGGTGAAATAGGGTTCACCTGTTCAGGTGACTAATGCAAGCAGAGCTGGGCACCCTTGAGAATCCAACTTCAAGCCTCCACCCACAGAGCCAGCAGAGCCCATAGGGACACACTTTCCAGCCTGGAGCTGTAGCAGAGCTGCCCTGACTTACCTGAGGCAGCGGAAGCAGCAGGGCCTAGAGACACGTTCTTCACCCCAACTCTTCCACAGCTGCTTCTGTACTTGGTCCTACTCTACTTGCCCACGGTGCCCTGGCTCCCTGCCCTCACCCCTAACACTACCCTCCTAACTCTATCCCCTCACCTCTACCACTTACCTGGCCCACCTACCACCTTTCCAGTGTGTCTCTTGGCCCCTGCTGCAGCCCCATGGGCCTCCCTCTCTTCAACCTCCAGCATCCAGCACACTTGGTGCCCAGCACCGCCCTTGAGGAGGCTCCTTCTACCCAAAACGGATACTCTGGGCCATTACACATCAGCTAGGCTGTGAAAGCCAGGAATCCAGAATCCAGGCTTAGTGCATTCCATCCCTTTTCATATTATTGATAGGAGCCAGGGTGATGAAGCCAGGGCAGGATGTGAAAGGAAAGCAGGCACACATCAGCCAGCCAAGTGGTCCAGCAGTGAACACTCAATGTGTGTATGTGCATGTGTGTGTGCATTTGTATAGGTTTCTTCTGTGGCCAAGGTCCTTAGAAGGTGGGCCGGCGCCCTGTAAACTACGAGGGAAGTTCCAACACAGGCTTCTGACTGAGCATCGCTCAGGATGCATGGAGAAGGTGGCCTCAGGTTCAGCAGCCTGTTGGGGACCAGGGCTGAAGAACAGGGAAGGCCAAAGGACTGAGGATAGGAGGCCAGGGCTTAATGTTTGCCCAGCAGAGGGCTTTACCGTCCTGCAGCAATGTCCCACAGCTGGCTCTACAAGTTCCGGCCAGGAGAGAAAGGGGGCACGGGAAGAGACAATGCTAGGCCCCCCTGGAGGGGGGAATGGGAGTGGAATGTGGGGGCTCAGGCCTTGACACCAACTCAAGCCTCCTGATGGCTGGGCGGGCTCCAGAGGGCCAGAGGGCTCTGCCTTTCTGAACTGCCAACAAGTAGGAAAAACAGACAACCCCCGCTCTGGCAACCAGGGGAGTAAGCTGGTGTGGGAGGGGGCATGGAGGTAGAGGTGAAGTTCCACCGTTGGCCAGAGGGCAAGGACACCAGATCACCTCTCACCTCTACCTGCCCTGGATACCCTGTGTGTGCTCCACCGCAGGGAGCTGATCCCTGCAGTAATTTCAAATGGCTTCTAAGAAGGGAGGGCAGGCTGCCCTCCGACTCCTCACAGCACCAAGATGACAAAGACCAAGATCTGCCCCTGCGTGAGCCACCAGATGGCTGTGGAGGCAGGAGTTCAAAGAGAGTGAGGCAACAGTCAGGGAAATAAATTAATAAATACAGGGGTCCCGTGAGGAACAGCTGCGAAAGCCATGGCCCCTCTGAGCATGGATCCCTGCTCTCCACTCCAAGCATCCTCGCAGGTTTTGGTGAGTGGAGGAGAGATGCAGTTTGGAAGGGGGGTAGCATTCACTGGGGACAGGCTTCTGGAACTCAGAGTCTGCGTTCCATGCGCCGCTCCACAGCTCGAAGCAGCAGCTCTGAGTATTGCTCCAGCAGGGCCTGTGTCTGCTCGGCCCCCACAGCCCCAGGGCTCCCGCCCGGGCTGGCCAACACCGCCCCGGCCAGGGCCTCCAGCTCCTGCCGCACTGAAGAGAAGGTGTTTCTGAGGAGCTGGGTGATGCGACTTTGTTCCACCGAGGGTGTCTTGCAGCTGGCCACCTGCAACAGGACCCCTGAAGTGAGTTGCAGGAACAGTGGAGGGGATTGTCAACAGATACAGAAAAGGGAGGGGCCCCGACTGTGTCTAGCCTGCCCCCAAGAAGGGACTGCATGCCCTGCTGGGTGTGGCCAGGAGTTCCACACGCCAAGATGAGCAAGTATGACCAGAGGCTAGGGGATGGAGGCAGACCCTGGGGGTAACTATCAGATGTGGCACCATCTACATCTTGTTAGCAATTCCTCTTTCAAATCTCGGCCCCTGAAAGACCGTCCCCTATGTTCAGAATGGCCAAATTGTTTCTGAATATGCAAAGGGATACTATTAATAATTATACTTGGACAACAGGCATAAGCTGGACGGTCCTAAGCAAACTAGGACATGAGGGCTCTCTACACTGTCCCCTCCTGTCTGAGGATGTCTCCTCCAGCTGTTAGCCAGAAATGACTGATGTGTACTCAAGTTCAAAAGGCCTGGCCTGGTCTGTAACCCACTCACCTACTCAGAGTTCTTAACTGTTCCACCCACTCGTCAGTGGAAGAGCCTTAGCATTATGTGCTAGATACTCAACCACCACTCCTGACATGCTCTGTCGTCCTGCTGGGCAGACGGGGAGAGGGGAAGAGGGGTACCAACACATACCAAGTGGTAGAGCTGCACGGCCTGGCGCACACTGCCCTGGAGCTCAGCCACGAGCTGCTCACACTGCTCCAGGCTCACTGCTGGTTCTGGAAGGGACAGACGTGGCTCAGCAAGGCCCATAAGAGTTGTCATTTCCAACCTGTCCACCCAGGGGCCGCTCAGAGCAAGAGAGGCCTATCCCACCACAACCCCCAACCCTGTCCAGCACCACATGCCCTGAGTCCCTTCCTCTGGCCTCCTTCCTTCTCAACACTCTCCCAATACCACACAGGAAACACGGTCCAGAGGAGAGGGCCAGCTCCAGCCCCAAGGGCTAGAGGGAAGGGGAAGTGGGTCATAGAGAGGTCATAAAGGTTAGGCAGAGTGTCTCACCATCAGGGGTGTAACTTATGGACCGAAACAGGAGCAGACAAGATGAGAAACGCCAGAGGCTGGACCCACAGAAATGAGATGGAGCCAGAGAGCGGCCGACAAGACGGGAGAGAGAGGATGGGGCGGGAGATGAGAGCTGGGGAGCGGTGCACACCTGAGTCCCGGCTCAGGGTTGCCCCTGGCCTGGCACATTCCACAGGGCTAGGAGTCTTCTCAAGGGGTTGCACATTCGCAGGGCCTTGGAGGAGGCTGCTGACTGGTAGTTGCTGGGCACGGGGGCTGTTGGGCCCAGGCTGAGCCTGGCACTCTGTCCTAGGCTTGGGAGTGGCACCCTCCCCTGAACAGGCCCACCTCTCAGCTGTACTGTGAGCCTTTCCTAGCCCCGCTGGGCAGCTGGGCTGTTCTGCCTCACCAGGGGCCCGGCCCTTGGTAGCAGGTGAGAAGGTGGCCAAGGTGGGACGATCAGGCAGTGGCTTCGGGATATCCAGGACCAGGTGAGCCCGGCTGGGCAGGGCCAGCTTGTTGAGTGGTGAGATGCGGATGGGAGCAGGAGCTTGATGTTCAGCAGCCAGACCCAAGTTTTCCCCAACAGAGATGCTGCGGGCAATCTTGGCCATGGAACTGGTGGTGGGGCTCTGGTACGAGTGGGGCCGAGACAAACGGCGATCAGCTTGGGGCAAGGAGCGCAGGCAGCCCTGGGCCTCCCTCTCCTGGGAGAGCAACAGGCCTGGTGGAAGGGCCTCATCTGCAGAGAAGACAGAGACACACACGGGTCAGGGGGTGAGGAAGACATCCCGGGTGCTAAGGCTCAGCTCCCTGGGAGCTGCAGCGCCCTCACACCCACTAACGGACACCGACTAGAAGCCCAGTGACACGTCAGGGCTCCGTGAGGCCACCTTCCTCGAGCATGCCCAGGGGCTCCACACACCCCAGCCCTGGAGCTGAGCCCCCTGGGTGCCTCACCCTGTGGTACCAGACTCTGCACCGACTGGGCTTTCTGGAGTCCACCTGTGGGGTCGGCTGCAGCCACTCTCTTGGGGGACCAGCCACTGTCCGGGCTGAGACGGCGTCGCGGCAGTAGCACAGGGACTGCCTGCTGGGGGCCAGGGTTTCCGGGGGAAGGCTCCGCTTCTGGGGGTGCTCCTGGAGGATTGGCACCAATGCCTCTTGGCTGCTCACCAGAAGCCTGCAGCCCCTGGGCCAGTCTTGACGTCACTGCCAGGCTTGAGGAAGATGGGGACGGTTCCCTAGGAAGGAAATGTGGAAGAAGGCCCAGAGAAGGCTCAGGGCTGCTCCCTGACAAGGCAGGGAGCAGGTCTCACAGCACTGAGGGGCGCTGGGAGAGAAGGGCAGGCACCAAGTCAGCCAGGACAAAGCTGGAAGGCGCAGTACTGCTGGGCAAGGAAGATTGAGCCTTGGAGAGGAGAGGGCTCAGTCCGCCCTGGGGCAGAACAGGCCCTACTGGGAGCACTGCGAGGTCAGGAGAGCTTGGGCTCCTTGCAGGAAAGCAAGCTACTGTGGGGAGAGTACCTGAGTAGGGGGCTCTGCACTTGCAACAGGAATCGTGAAGAGATGCTCCGAGACTCTGTCCGCTCTGGCACCCGGACTGGGCCCCCTGCCAGGGTGACAGAAACCATGACTTGAAGCAAGCCCTGGCTCCAGACTCTGCCTCCCCTAGAAAGCCACCCCGGGCATGGCCTGACTTTGGACCCTCCCTCTCTGCTGGGCAAGGAGGAAAGAAGGGAGGATTGCAATGACCAATCTGACCACACCTGGAGCAGCCCCGTTGGCCAGAGTCTCAAAGTGCTGTTTTAGAAACTGCTCCTGGTCTGGAGTATGGGGGCTGCCCTCCTGCACCTCATAGGGGCCAGTGCCCCCCTCGTCTTCCTCTTCTTCCTCATCACCCTCGGCTGGCTCTTCAAGGTCTGAGGAAATGCCGTCCACACTCAGGGGCTCCGTGCTCTCAGAGTCTGGATGTGGAGGAGGGGGAGGGAAGCATCACGCTGCACCAATCTGTCGCCAGAGCCTCCGCTCCCATCGGCGTGCTCCTGGCCCTCCCTGGGGCTGCAGCCTCACCTTCATTGGGGTGCTCAGGGCTGGAAAGGCGGCTGCTGCTGAAGTCCACAGAGCACGCACTGTCAGGACTGTGCTTCTCTGAGCCCCTGTCGTCTGCATACACTCTTCCCAGAGTCCCTCGGCTCGGTGCCTGCACCTGGAACTCACTGCCAGAGAGGCCATCAGGGGAAGGAAGAGGTGGTGAGCAGTGGTGAGCAGCAGCCCCATGGACTCCTGCCTTCCTCCTGCCCCATGAGCAGGACTAGAGATGAGGCAGGGTGCAGTGGTGGGCAAGCCAAGTGCCTGGAGCCAGCCCCCCACCCAAGTACAGAACACTGGGAGGGAAGGGAGACATGGGAGAGGGGTATGCATGGCCCCAGAAGTCTGTAAGACCCTTGCCTGGTATCCAGGGTGGGGCTATCACCCGGCTCCGGGTAGACAATACCATCTTCGATAGGTGCGGGCTCCAGATCTTGGGCAAAAAGCCCTTCCTCTTGGGACAACAATCGGATGATGCGGGGGCAGGAACAGGGTTGGGAAGCCTGAGGCCGGGGGAGCTTTTCATTCTGGAAACACACAGAGCGGCATCACTGGGGTTGCTGATGTGAGCAAGGGTCTGGGAGAGGAGGTGCAGGGGAGCAAGGATTCAGTGGGCACCAACTCTGGGGGAAGCTCCGACTCTGAGAACAGATACCAAAAAGCCAGGCTAGGTTCCAACCAGTGTTCTTGAGCCTCTGGAAGAACCACATTAGCACTCTGGGCTGCCAACCTCCAGCCACTACTTTATATCATGAGCCCTCCAGGGAACCCCACCCAGGACAAAGGTGACCCCTTGCTTTTCCACCCAAGGGGAAAAGTGAGGCACAGACTCACCAGCCCCACCTGACTCTGCAGGTCAGGTTACCCATGCCCCACGGGGGCAGAGCAACCACCGCGGGATGAACGCTCAGGCACCGCTGTTGGCACAAGGCTGGCTCAGCCAGCTTGGAGATCTGTAGGCTGCTGAGAGAAAGCAGGCTCACCTGGCCCACACTTGAGGTCTCAGGAGCCTGCTGACTGTGCTTCCCAGGACCTGAAGGGGTCATGGCCGGAGAGTCCTGGTGAGGGCCCCGAGGTCCTGGGGCCAGTGTCTCCAGCTGCCTCAGGTCCAGCATAGAGCGAACACTCAGCTCCACGCCTGGCTGAGCCCAGCGCCCCCTCCTTCTGGGTCCTTGGTTGGTGTCAGGAGCTGGGTCCAGGAACTCCTCCGTCTCCTGTGCCTGGTATGGGGTGGGGGTGGGAGAGGAGTAACAGTAACAGTCAAACGATAGTATCAGCAAACACTCAGCTGTCACCTAGTGTGTGCCAGGCACTTTACATGTATTAGCTCATTTAATTCTCACAACCACCTTATGATGTAGGTACTGAAGGGAAAGTGAAGCATACAGGGCTTCGGTAACTCGTCCAAGTTCCACAGGCAATCTGCCTGCAGGTTCTAGCTCAGGTAGCCTGGCTCCAGAGTGCGTGCTCTCAGCTTCACTCTATGTGCTGACCTTCCAGTCTGTCTTCACCAGCGTCATGGACACCTCAGACCTGGGAGTCTCTAAAAGGCCCCCACTCAGAGGACAGCCCCAGGTCCATACACAGCACCAAGGACAAACCAAGAGTCCAGGCTTGAGGCCCATGGCCTGGTCAGAAGGCGCCAGACCCCACACCACCATCATCCCATGAAGCTGCTGCTGACAGTGAAAGGTGCTGATGCTTGAAACCCTGACATGGAACAAGGGAGGGCTGAGCCGCCTCTGAAAGCCTCTCTCCTCCTCCTGGTCACCCGGAAGTCACAAAGAGAAAATATCCCACAATTATAATGAAATAACTATTAATTGTTAATCACTTATTATATGCTAGGCAATATTCTAAGCACTTTACATGTATTAGCTCATTTAATTCTCACAACCACCTTATGATGTAGGTACTGAAGGGAAAGTGAAGCATACAGGGCTTCGGTAACTCATCCAAGTTCCACAGGCAATCTGCCTGCAGGTTCTAGCTCAGGTAGCCTGGCTCCAGAGTGCGTGCTCTCAGCTTCACTCCATGTGCTGACCTTCCAGTCTGTCTTCACCAGCGTCATGGACACCTCAGACCTGGGAGTCTCTAAAAGGCCCCCACTCAGAGGACAGCCCCAGGTCCATACACAGCACCAAGGACAAACCAAGAGTCCAGGCTTGAGGCCCATGGCCTGGTCAGAAGGCGCCAGACCCCACACCACCATCATCCCATGAAGCTGCTGCTGACAGTGAAAGGTGCTGATGCTTGAAACCCTGACATGGAACAAGGGAGGGCTGAGCCGCCTCTGAAAGCCTCTCTCCTCCTCCTGGTCACCCGGAAGTCACTATTCAGTTATTGATCCTCTTAAGGCCTTTGCCCCCTAACTATTCTGGAAGTTCTGAGCTTACCTCCTAACCTTCTCTAGTACTAAAGTTTCTCCAGATTTCATTCTTTGGCCCTTTGACTTTCTTGAAATTTCCTTCTAACTGTTCAGCTCTAGTCCCCAGCTCCACCAGTTCTTTGCTCACATTTGCTCCCAGGGCCCCAGGTGGCTGAACAAGTGAAGTGCTGCCCCTAGTGGTGGCTGACCAATGTAGGCCACCTCCCCTGGCCTCACCTGGGCTTCACCCCTCACCCAGAACCATCCTTCGGGCTTCCTTGAACACAGGGGGCGGGCACCTGGGCAGATCCGACGCCCAGATGCCTCGCCAGGTGTAGAGAACCCTGCTTTCACCATCCTTCATCCCTTGTAACCTTGGAAGAACATTTTAATGATGATGACTCACCCGACTCATCTCCCAGTGGGACAGGCTTCGGGGCAGGGCTGGGCTGGGCACCGAGGCTAGACAGAGACAGGCAGTCAGAGAGCACGGCTCCCACCCACTCACTCTGAAGTGCCAGCCCTACCAGCCCACACCCTTCAAAGCCTCAACTCCCTGCTCTCACCCCCCAGTCCCACTGCCCAACTGGTGCCTGCCTGGCCCCACCACAGACTCGCACAGACCTGGCTCTTTCTTGGTGCCCGTGGCAAGGATGGGCAGGGCTGGAAGCTCCTCCTCTTCAGTGCCCTCGTCTTCTCCCTCCTTGTCGCTGTCTGAGGAGAGAGCTGGTCCGGGAGACAGCATCGAGGGGGCCTCAGGCCTGCATCCAAGACAAGGAAGGTCACGGGGAGAGGAGACTCGGTGGGTGGAGAGGTCAGCGGCGTGGCTCTTCGAGTAAGGAACAGGTACAGGGAGACAGAGCTGCTGAGCGGCAGGTCCATAGCGAGGAGGAGGAGGAGCGGTCTGGAGGCCCACCCGCCGGCATCCACACCCACACTCTGATCTCACCGATTGGGTCCAGCGGCCCTCTGGGGAGAGGACGATCCTTGCTGCTTGCCCCCACGCTGGCGCTGGCGCAGCTCAGCCAGTCGCTGCCTCATGCTGATGGTCATCTCCGAGCTCAGGCGCCACACAAATATGCAGCTGGGGTGGAGCCACAGAGCTGGGTGAGGGGCGGGGGGACTGTAGGGGGGGCAGCACCGCTAGCGCCCCTCCTCCCCGGGCTGGCAGGGAGACCAGACCCACCCTCCAGGGCTGGGCCTGTTCAGCCCTACTTCCCAAGACATCACTGATGTGGAGAGAGGGTACTGACACAGGAAGAATCTCAGGGAAGCTGGCTTCTTGCTCACCTGTCCCCTGATACAGAGATGAGATGTTTGCAGTCATTACTAAACTTCATGCCAGTGACAATCTCTGTGAAGAACAAATATGGCCGATGAGCCCCCCGCCTGAAGTCCCAGCCAGATGTCTTCTCAACAGTGGAGGTCGGGGGTTGGCTGGAGGGAAGGGACAGACAGCTCTGCTGGGACCCAGAAAAGGCCAGGGAGAAACGAGAAGGTTCCAGTGGGACAGTAGCAGGGCTATACTCACCTGAGTGGCCAAACATGGTAGCCACGCACTCGCCTGAGGAAAAGTCAAAAATGGAGAGGTTCTTGTCGGAGCAGCTGGTAGCGATGTAGATCCCTGAGGGGTCCGTCTGCACCTGAGGAGTGGACACACAGCTGGATGAGGCCAGGAAGCTGGGTCCCTCTCCACCCAGCGCCCTCCGCCCCCATTCTCTGGCCCGGCACCCATCCCACTGAGCCCTCACCTTAATCAGAGTGCCATCCTCACCCTGCGACCCTTTGAACAGTTTCTTCTGCTTCCCACTGCTGATGTTAAAGATCCTGTGAAGATACACACTCATCACATGAGCAGGAACTCATGGTCGCTTGGGGGGCAGCACAGCCAGCGTTCACCCCCAGTTCTGTTCCCTCTGGAAGCCACTCCCCAACACCAAAGGGGCCACCACCTCTTAGGTGAGGCAAAGTCCTCATTCTGTGGGCTCAAGGGGCACAGAGTCCTGGACAAGAAGATAGACACCCGAGAGTTGACGCCCTCGGGCCTGAAGGAGAGCAGTCAGATGGTCTGAGAAAGGGATGCCCACCGAATATTCCGATCCTGGCAGCCGATGGCTGTGTACTTCCAGCTGGGCTCCACATCCATGTCGTAGAGGGTCGTCTTCCGCACCACGTGGTGTGTCCGCGTAAACTGCACTCCATCTCCAGACTGCAGGGGTGGAGACCCCACGCCCAAATGCCTCACCAGGCCCAAGGAGCCTTGCTTTTGCTTCCCCTCACCTCTTGTGACCTCAGGGAGGGGAATGGTAGTGACCCCACCCCTCATCCCCAAACCCACTGCCCCATTCAGGGACGCCTGGTCACCTCACCTTCTGCGCAGTGCGGAAGTAGATGCTCTTGTCTGCTCCACAGCTGATCATGCGGACTTGCCCATCGCTGGCTGTAGAGGAAGGGGGACGAGCTGTTCCCACTGCTCTCACCACAGTAGGTCCAGTCTGCCCTCTGCCTCCCTCAACACTTTCCCTCTGTGAGCTACTCGACACAGCTGGGACCACCCATTAAATCAGGATGAAGTGAAAAGTGAAAGCGTTATTCGCTCAGTCATGTCTGACTCTTTGTGACTCCATGGACTGTAGCCCATCAGGCTCTTCTGTCCATAGGATTCTTTAGGCAAGAATACTGGAGTAGGTTGCCATTCCCTTCTCCAGGGGATCTTCCTGACCCAGGGATGGAACCTGGGTCCCTGCATTGCAAGCAGATTCCTTACTGTCTGAGTCCCAGAGAAGCCCTAAATCAGGATGCTTCTCTTCAAACCCGGGCCCTCCTTTCTCCTCATCCTCAGTAAACCTGGTTGGTAAGGATTCCCTGGACTAAGGGTCTATATTTCACCTGTCGTCCCATCCAGCCCCAAGCCAGCCAGCTGCTGTCCCACACTCCCCGTGACTGGCACCCCTTCTAATGGAGGCAGAACGCAGGGGGCAGTAGGGGGCAGGGCGTGTCAGTGGTAGGTGGCAGAATGTATCCCAATTGCCCTGCCACTACCTGCAAACTTCACAGCCGTGATGGAGGATGAATGCTCGTCCAGTGTCTGCTGTAGGCTGTACTCCCGTCCAGCATCCAACACGTGGATCAGCCGGTCCCGGCTTGCTGACGCTAGGAGCTTCAGACCTGGGGTTGGAAGAACTCCATCAGCTCATGCATGCCCAGAGCACGCCCCTATCTGGGCCAAGCTAACAAGAACTGAGCACCATATCCCTAAGCCAAGCCAACCATGGAGATGGGGCAGAGCTGCCCTCCTCTCAATCTGCAAAGACACCAAATGATTCAAAGGATTTTCAGTCCCACATCCAACAGCCAGGATCGATGTAAGTGGCACTAGCAGGACAAGAGGAGCCTAAGCCTCTGGCATGGGTACCAGACATCCTCTTTACCTGTATTTGGCTTAGAGTACTCCAGGCACAGGATTTCCGAGTCATGGGCCTCCACCTTCAGCATCTCATTTAGGGACTGCAGTTCATGCACCCTGCAGAGATAAGGAGAGGCAGGAGGAGGTCACTGCCGGGCTGCAGGAAGACAGACTCACTCTGCTTTCTCTGTTACATCCTCTCTCCTGACCTTTTTTAAAATTTATTTTTGAACTTTCAGGTTAGAGAAAAGTTGAAATAAGTACAGAGAGTTTCCATATTCCCCTTACCTAGCTTTCCCTAATGTGATCATCTTACATAACAACAGTCCACTTACCAGAACGAGGAAGTTTACATCGGTACAATACTAGGATCTAAAGGTTCTACTTGAATTCCACCAGTTTTCCCACAATGTCCTCTTTCTGGATCTACAATCCTATCCAGAGTCCAACTGCATTGAGTTATTATTTCTCCCGAGTTTCCTGTCTGTAACAGTTCTTCAGTCTTTGCTTCCCTTTCATAATCTGGACACTTGGGAAGAGTACTGATTAGTGCAGGTGCTCGGTCATATGTATCTCAATTTGAGTTAGTCTGATGTTTTCTCATGATGGGACCGAGCTTCTAAAATTTTGGCAAGAATACCACAGAAAAACTGCTATGTCCTTCTGTAGAGCATTGTATTATCGGGTTTATGATGTTGATATGCTAATGTAAGCCTGATTACTTGATTAGAACGGTTTCTGCTGGGTTTCTTGACTATAATTATCTTTCCCTTGTATATGAATATCTTTTCCCCAATCTTTTTGAGCCAAGCTTTTCAAAAGCTCTATCCTTGGGGACCTAACTCCCCTCAGTCCACACCACCAGAGGCAGGTGGTACCCATGGCAGAGCTGGCTTTACCTGAGAGTGCCCACACGGTCCCCTGAAGCGAGATGCTGTCCATTGGGGCTGATACACACAGAACGAATGCCCACGCGGGGATCCATCAGGGACCCATCAGCTTTGTCTCCCCCGGGCAGCTCAGTGTCCAGCAGGGCCTGAGTGTTCCCATCCACATAGATGATCTTAATGAGGTCCTGGTGGAGCAGGTCAGAAGTGGGTAAGACAGGTCTGATCAGTACAGGGGCAAGAGGAGAGGAATGCTG